GTGCATCAAGTAGAATGATGGTTTACTGAATGAATAAATGAATGAATGAATGATTTAGTAGGTAACTTTTAATAAAATCTCAAGCATTAGAGAAAAGTTACAAATATCAATTAACTCACAGGGTTTTCGTTATTTTATGAATAGATTCTTGTCTCCCTTATCTGGATTTAAGGCCTTTCTACATCAGCCCTAATCTACTTTCTTAACCTTATCTCATCTACTTTTCTTCTCTTGTTAGATCCTCTGTATGAACTACTTTCTCTTTCTGGCATAAACTCTGTGCTTTAATTCAGTAATCTCCAAAAGCTTTAGACTATGCAGCCCTTCCAATGTAAATGAGCATGCTTACTTAACATTGTGCTAATAGATTATGTTTACTGGAAAGCGATCTTAAAAATAGAAGAAAATAGACACTTTAAACAAATAAGGTTAACATATAAAAGTTTAAAATTTTTCTTTCTGTGCACAAGGCACGGTTCTGTATGTACTTCAGTTTAAAAATCACTGATTTATATCAAAAGGACAAATCTCATAGAGTGTGAGAATTAACTGAATCTGTGCATGTAAAGCACTCAGAACAACATTGGTTGTATAGGAAACACATTAAATGTCAGTTAATGTCATTAACATCATTATTATCAATGCAGTTTCTTTTGACTGGCATAATTCCCCATACTTACCCTCCAGACTCACTCCTACAAACTGCTTGAAGGCCAAATTCAAATGTTATCTCTTCAAAAAATTATTTGAATGCATCTCTTATGTTAGGATTTCTCACTGTAGGAGGTACCAAATCCTACAGAGCTTAGCAAGAACCCATGGCCAAGAAGCCAAAATAAAGTTGAACAGTTGGAAAAAAATTAAAAATGGGTTTATGGAAAATGATGCAAATGAAAAAAGATGTGACTATTAACCCTAAGAAAAATAAAATACACAAAAAGAAAGAAGGTACATTATCTGGTTCTATAGTAAACAATGTTTAGATAGACCTAATGATAGAAACACTGACTACTAATGAAACCAAAAACTGTGATATAACCATATGGGAAAGACCAGTCATTATAAGAGCACCCAAATCCTCAATTTTCATTAGAAAGAGTCTAAAGGAGATTAACCATGAACTAGAAATTCAGGAAAATTATTTTAAGATTTACAGATATATACCAGAAGAAATTTAACGACAACAGGGAAAAGGAGAAGACCTTGCAAGCTTCTAGAAATATAAAAGTAGTTTTGTACAATGAGATCAGCAGTGAGAATGGCATGTGTTGCTCTTTTTCATGGTAATAGGAGAAGTTAAAAAGCAAGGAAGCAATGCCTTCAAACTTCTAAAGAAACAGAATTCTATATCCAGGCAACCAATTCATGAAAAACCATTTTACAACATGCAAAGACTCAAAAATTTTTTCCTTATGTAGCACTCTTTCTCAGGAATGTATCTGGAAATGTGTTCATACAAAACAAGAGAACAAAAAGGAAGATGCAGAATCCAGGACACAGGAAATTCAAAGGTTCCATTGATCAAATTAAAAGTGGTCCTGAGTTACTAGTTTTAAGAATATCAAGTCAATACACAAAGGCATTCAGCTGAGGTTTGAAACTTTAAAGTATTTCTTTTACTTCAACTTGAGCATAAAAGAGATTGCAAGAGGTTTTAACTCTTACCTGTAACACAGCAGCAATTAAGTATACCACTACGAAGATTACAGTTAAAGAAGTGTGACCACTTTTCATCAAGTGAATAGTGTAGAGGAAAATTAAATGTCCAGGTATCACTAACAGCAGCAGAACTTGAGCTGACTTATTATTGACTCCTGTAACATAAAATGTAAAAGTTGTTAAAACAAAATCATATTTTGGTGAATAATAGGTCACGGTTGTTAAAATTTGAGGATTACGTCTAGTTACTATATTGTATAGAATCACATAAATGTCAATTGCTTAAAATAAATTTTAACTATTTACAATTCACTTAACTTTTAGAAATTCTTCCTATATGTTACCTACTTATTAAATGAAAGATGGTTGCTGAAACCTTGCTATGAAGACCTTTGGTCAAACTATAATATCTATTATAAAAACAGAGAGAAGACAAAAGAAAAAATATAAAGTTCTTAAAGTACTGAAATGTTTAATTTTATTTTTCCTTTAGAATTCTTTCACTGCTATTACAAGACTGGGCATTTCTGATCCTTATTCAAAAGTCAATAATTACATTTACTTTCATCAGAGAAAAAAGTTGTCAAAAATTGTGAGGTTTAAAATTGTTTAGTTTTTTGGGCATCCTATATCTGGGACATAAACAATGCACTGTTCCTTATAACTGAGGTTATCCTCTCTCATTCTGTTTGGGATCAAATGCCTACACTTGGAAAGGCCAAAAGGATTAACATATAAAAGACAGTATATCTGTCTCCTTAAATCACCTCGCAGTGCTTTCTTATATGTACAAGGCCCCTCTTTCTTGACTCATAAACAAGATATCCCAGAGAAAGATAAAAGACAAAAATGATGCAAAGTTCCTCAGCAACTACAGAATTGATACAAATTCTTTTTTTGTTGTTGTTCACTGAGATTTAGTGAACAAAATCTATTTAAAATCTACTTAGCTCTCAGAAATGGAAACCTGTGCAACATTCACAAAACATGTATTCAACTAAGGCTGCCTGCCTATATTCATAAGAGTTCACCCATGAGCACTTACCTGGACCAAAAAAAGTTCTAAATGGGTAGTAACAACCTTTGGGTTCATCAGGCAGTTCTCCTGGAATGCTGTGTAAATGGAGGTAGGTAGAAATCCTGCTAGCCTGAATGGCCACCAAATTACCACCAATACCTGGAAACATAAAGAAAAACAATGTAGCTATCTTCTTATTTTAAATAACTTGCATAAATTCAAGTAAATATAATCCAATTATGTCATATCGTGGGCCAATAAAGCTAAACAGAATTCTTCTGAAATGTTGACTTATTTAATGTTGAGGTAGATATTCCAAAGGCATAAAATTATTGTTGTGAAAGACTCATTCATTATTTTTTCAAATCTAACTAACTGGTCTGAAAGCAGAGTAAGTAATTAAAAAAATTACTATCACAACTAAAATATAAAACTAGGTTATATGATGTTTCATGTTCATCATCTTAATGAGAGGGAAAATAAGCTAGACTTATCCAAATAGACAAGATTTGATATTTGTCTTCTCAGGTTACTAAAGAAACTGGTATGAGACACTGAAAGAAATACTCAAGAAAGTAATCTTTTAACCTAGATTATCCTCTCATACACTCTGAGAAAGATGAGTTCGCAAAGGGCAGTAAGCGCCCCAAAGGTGAGTTAGGACACCCAAACTCTTTCTCCTTTGACAGAGTATGGGAGGAGGATGTAGTAGCCATAAAATCAAGTAGGAAGAAAACAACTGAAAATTTCAAATTCTTAAATACTAAGTGTGGGCTAACTGAATCACTGAGAATACCTGGGGACCCTACTTACAAGGAGAGTCCACATTCACCTGCTAGCTATCTCTGGGTGTTTGTGAGACAGATTGAGATAGGGCAGAACACTTGACATAGCCAACCTTGATGGCACACAGCAAGAGAGCACATCTATTTCTGAATCTCTCTCACATGAAACAAACTATGCTTGGGGTGGTGAAGAAAACACCCCAGCTGTCTGATCCCAGGCAAAGATCAGTTGCCACTGGAGGAAGAGCAGAAGCAAAAGCTGTCTTCCTGCTCAAAAGAAAGTCTTCCTGCCAAGACCAATCTAGCAGAGTGACCGCCAAAAGGGGAGGGAAAGAAACACTAAGGAAGCCTGACCTCTGTGGACCAAGTGCATAGGGACTGCCTAAGAATGGTAATAGTACAAGAGAATCCCAAACTCCATCCCATGCCTTGCACCATGTAGCAAGCATCAGCAGTCTACCATGAGCAGAGGAGCAAAAGCACAAACAGTTAAGCCTTCCACGCTGCAGGCATATAGCACTCCACGTTTCACACTAAGCATAAGGAGCAGGAGTTCATCAATTAAGAAATTTGAACTCAGTGATGCACTGAAGGTAACTATAATTACCACAAAAAACAAACCCAGCTCAACTACTGATGAGACTGACTCAGTCCTCTATGGTAATGAACAGAAGAAAAAGTCTACCCTTTTTAGGCACAGATAATATTTGTCTCAGTCGCCAATGTTCTTTTATACACAGTGCCCAGCATTCGATAAAAATTTGAGACAGTAAAAAGCAATAAAGAAAACAGACTATTGTCAGGAGATAAGAAGCCAAAAGAACCAGACCCAGAGATGACTAAGGTGTTGAAACTATCTGACGAAGATGTTAAAATAACTATGATTAATACATTAAAGGATCTAGTGGAAAAGATGTACAACGTGCATTCTTAGACTCATAGACATAGAATACAGACTTGTAGTTGCCAGGGGGGCGGAGGGTGGGAAGGGACAGACTGGGATTTCAAAATTGTAGAATAGATAAACAAGATTATCCTGTATAGCACAGGGAAATATACACAAAATCTTATGGTAGCTCACAGAGAAAAAAATGTGACAATGAGTGTGTATATGTCCATGTATGACTGAAAAATTGTGCTGAACACTGGAATTTGACACAACATTGTAAAATGATTATAAATCAAAAAAATCTTAAAAAAAAAGATGGGGATATAGATTAAAATTAAAGGTATGGAAAAATATAGTATACAAGCACAAGTAAAAAGAAATCTAGAGTGGTTATAGCAATTTGAGCAAGGAAAAAGAAGACTTTGCGACCGGGAATACTACCAGGGATAAAAATGAACACTGAATAATGGTTGAGGAGGTCAACTCATGAAAAAGACATAACAATTTTAAATGCAGATGCAAGATCTTCAGAATAGATAGAGGAAGAACTGATAAAACTGAAAAAAAAAACTCAGACAAGTTCTTGTTTATATTTGGAGACTTTATCACTCCTCTCTCATTAACTACAATACAGAGATTAAAAAAATCGAAACTACATACATGTTTGAAACAATACTATCAATGAGTTTGATCTAAAGGACATTTACAGAACACACCATCCAACAATAACAGAATATATATTCTTTACAAGTAAACATATGAAACGTCCACAAAGATAGACCATATCATGAGCCATAAAATAAGTCTCAACAAATATGAAATAATTGGAACACATAAAGTATGTTTTCTGGCCAGAACAGATAGATATCTGAGAATTCCCCCAAATATTGGAAAGTAAGTAACACACTTCTAAGTAACCCACAGGTCAAAGAAGAAATCACAATGGAAATTTTTAAATATTCTGGATTTAATGAAAATGAAAACACAACATATTGAGATTTGTGGGAGACACATAAAGCATACTTAGAAATTCATAACATAAAAAAAGAAAAAATTAAACTGAATGAAAGTATAAAGAAGGAATAATAAGTTTAAGAGCACAAATCAATGAAATAGAAAACAAAAACAACGGAGAATAAAGAAATGAAACCAAAAGCTGGTTCTTTGAATAGATCAAGAATAAAAGATACAAATTTCAATAGTAAGAATGAAAGAGGGGTCACCATTACAGACTATGCAGGCATTAAATGAATGATATGGTCATGCCAGAAAATGAGAGCTTAGATGAAATTTAAAAATTCCTTGAAAACCACAAACTACAGAAACTCACTTGACAAGAAACAGTAATATGAATAGCCTTATATCTATAAAGCAGTAGTTCTCAGCTGGGGGTAATTTTGCCACCAAGAACCAACCCCCAATTAAAAAAAGAGAGATCTGGCAATATCTGGAGACATTTTTGGTTATCATAATCTGGGAGGTGCTACTGGGATCTAGTGGGCAGAGGTCTGAGATGTTGCTAGACATTCTACAATGCACAGAATGCTTCCCCCATAATAAGAAATTATCTGGTTTCAAATGCCAATAGTGTCAAGCTGAAAAACCCTGTATTAAAGAAAATGAATTCATAGCTAAAAACTTGTCCACAAAGAAAACTTCAGGGCCTGATGCCTTCACTCTATGGAAACTGAGAAAACACATCTCTAAATAACTTGAAAATTAAAGAAGAAATCATGATTACAAATTAAAAACCATTTGTATTTGAATGGAAATTAAATATTACATTCAAAAGCATGTAGGATGTAGCTAAAGCAGTACTAAGAGGCACACTTACCTTCTTAAATGCATACACTAAAAAAGAAGGTTTACAGACCTAAGCATCTACCTCAAGAAGCTGGAAAAGACAGAACTATTAATACAAACTTGAAGAAGGAAAATAATGAAAAGAGAGAAAATTAAGAAAATCAAAAAAGTTAAATACTGGCTATTTGAAAAGAAAAAAGAGGAAGCACAAACAACAGGGAGAAAAAGGAAGTCATAATTCTAACTGCTGTCAATATTTTTAAAATAACAATATGAACACCTTTATGCCAATAAACTTAAAAATTCAAATGGGAAAATATCCTAAAATATACACAACAACAAAAGTAACTCAAGAAGAAATAGAAAACTTGAATCATTCTGTAATGATTAAAGAAATTGAATCTAAAATTTTAAATCTTCCTCAAAAAACCACCAAGCCCACATAAGATGTTTGCTTTGTTTTTTTTTCAAGTGAGTTCCACCAAATATTTAAGCAACAGATAATAAATAATAAAAACAGCAAAATCTTACACATACTATTTTACAATATAAAATGAGTAGTATATCTAACTCACATAATGAAACTAGCATAACTGAGTTCAAAATCCAACAATAGCAATATGAAAAAGGAAAATTATAGGCCCACCTTATGAATAAAAACACACATAAAAAGATACCAAACTAACTGTTGATAAACCAAGTCCAGCAAAATGTTAAATGTATAATATATCACAACAAAACTGGATTTATCCTAGGAATGTAAGGCTGATTTAATATTTGAAAATAATGTAATACAGTGTATTAACAAATGGAGGGAAAATATAATATTAAAAATGTAGAAAAATATAACTAAATGCAGAAAAATTAATAAAATTCAGCATTTTACTATTTATTATTAAAATCTCTAATGAAGAGGAACTTCTGATAACCACACACAGACATACACAGAAACACACACAAACACGCATAAAACACACAGATGAGGTGCTGCAGATCATTAACAGTGCTACAGACTTTTCAATAAATAGTGCCAAGATAACTAGTTTTTTGTTTTTTTTTACATTTTTATTGATTCATAATCATTTT